AAAAAAAAAAAAAAAAAAAAGTAGCCCAAGCAAAGTGTTTGTTGATCCATGAAATGGAACTTAAGGCACTGACAGGTGTAAAATCCCAGTAAAACACCATCCTGCACTGGCCAATGCCACCTCACAGCGTCACCAATTGTCCCACTCTGGTCACCCGGCACATTTTGGGATGGCAAAACTGGATGGGCACATTCCCATGGGGATGGCACAGGAAATGGGAACAACCCAAATCAGCAGAAAACACCGGGAAAATCAACAGCAGGAACCAACTGGAACCACAACCGGGGCGGTGACAATTTGGGAAATGCTGTGAAAAAGCTGCAAATTGTGAGTGTTCCCTCATCATCCTCTGCTTCCCCCCGCTCCAAACACCCTGAGAGGTGACAAAGARTGACCAAAATGACCAAAAYTGACCCGARAGTGCAGCAAAACCTCCGAGAATCYGTAAAAACAGCACCAATCTGCACGTGGGGCTTTTCTGAGCTGTCCCCAGCCAGCAGGGGAAGTTTCTGTCCAGGATTTTGGGAAGGAGGAAAGGACAGATCCTGCYCTCAGCTCCAAACTTAATCCCAGGTTTAGAAAAATGCAGGAATTCTCTCCCAAAAYGAGCTGGAAGCAGGAACATGTTCAGGTTGGGCTTTCTTGGGCTACCACCACCACCACTGCGGGTGTGAGATGCTCGTGGGGGACAATTTTGTGCATTTTTTTTTTTTTTTTTTTGAGAATTCAGTTTTAGATTTTAAGAAGTTTGAGTTTATTTCTAATCCCTAAATCCTCCTCACCACGGGATCAAATTTACAACTCCCTTTTTTTTTTTTTTTTATCATCACCACCTAAATCATGGAATATCCTGTGCTGGAAGGGATCCTCAAGATCACAGAGTGCAACCCCAGCAATCCCTGGTTTTGAGGGAATTTTCCCAATGCTCCTGGAGCTCTGGAAGCCTCGGGCACCGTTTTTTTTCCTTGGAAAATCATCCAGGGAATGTTTTGTGCTCCTCAGCAGCGGGTTTTGGGGAGAAGGGGAGGGGAAGGGAAGGCTGAGCACACCCCGTGCACCACTCAGCTGCCCCCACTGCTGTGGGAATATTGCTTCAGCTTAAAAAAAAAAAGGCCTTTGGATTAAAAGTGATTTCAGTGCTTTTCCATCAAAAAACATCAATTTTCTGTCCCTCCTTCCATCCAGGGGAAGGAATCCAGGAAGGGACAAGGTGTCACCAGCTGTGTCCCCATCACCCAGCCCCCCCTCTGTAAGCTGGGCCTAGCCGAGCTAAACTCAGCCTAATTTGGTATCTCAAACACAAAGAGCGGCCCAGCCAGGCCCAGGCAGGCGCTCATTTGCCTTTCCCTCCACCCAGGAAATAGAAAATCTTGAATAGAAACTGGAGATGTCTGACCATGGTGGGGTTTGGACGAGCACAAAACCCTTCCCGGAGCACGGCAGGACCGAGGGTGACACTTTTATGTCCCCACATGTCCCAACTGTGGGATGGCAGCTCCAGCTCTCAGGGAATGCCCAGGAGAGCAAATTCCTGCCAGGCCAAGCTCAGCTTTGTGAGCTCTGCTCTTGGAGGGTCTCAGTGCCACTCATGGAGCTGTTCTGGTGATTCCTGACCAGGCTAAACTGAGCTCAAGACGGCTAGACTTGGATTATCCCGTTCTTTTTACCAAGACATCTTGGATTCCCCGAGAGCAGAGCTCAGCAAGCGTGCTCAGAGCAGGTGGGGGCACTGGGAACTGCAGTACGAGTCAAACACTATCTCCTAAAAGATTGAAAAAATACCTTTTCAACAAAATAACGTGGCATATTTACATAATTCCTTAAGTGCAAACTCTCGTCACAATTCACGCAGCCGAGCGAGATTCCGACTCCCTGTACAAGAAAGGTGCTCTTTCCTTAACGAAAGGACTCTGCTCTGTTATTCCTGATTCAGTAACGTGTCTCTTGTGCAAGGCAGTAAAAATTCCTGTTTCTTCCCAAGATAATTCCCAAAAAGCAGCCCCCAAAAGATGCCATCCCTGGTTATCGCACCACCAGGCAGGACACGCAGAGCTTGGAGGGGCCGATGCAGTCGTCGTGGCAGAAGGCACCGCAGCCCTTGCACATGATCATGGCTTTCAACCTGCAGTAACATTTGGAAGGGGGATCCTCCACGGCGCAATCCTGCRCSGGGAGGTTCTGCCCGTGGCTCTGGSCCTGCCCGGCGGGGATGGTGGTGACGGTCACCGAGAAGGACATGACGTTGTTGCCCATGGAGCTGGCCAGCTGCTTGCACTCGGATAAGCCGCCCGCCAGCGAGCTCTGCGYCACGTCGGCTGAGGTGGAGACGTTTATGGTGCCGCTGTAGCTCGCAGGGAGCTTTGTGGGGTGCGGGGCAGGGAGAAGAGGGGGCTGTGCTGAATCCGGGGTTCCCAAAAGCTCCGTTCCGCCGTGGGTTTTGCCCCTCATGGCGTGGGCCATTTGCTCCTGTGCCGCCTGCAGCAGATCCCGGGCCAGAGCCGTGCCATCCAACACTGCCACCTTCTCCTTCTCCTTCTCCCAGCCGGGCTCTTTGTCCCCCTGCTCCTCTCCGAGCTCCCGTTCACCCCCGGAGCTCTCATCATCATCATCCGCGTCCTCCTCCTCGCTGCTGCTGCTGCCCCGCTCAGCCATCATCTCCTCGCACTCCCCAAACTCCTCCCGGCTGCTCAGCCCCAGGCGGGGCTCGGGGTTTAGGGAAAAGCCCCTCCTCAAATTCTCCGAGCCGCGGCCGTAGGTGGAGATGTTGAGCAGGTAATGGCCGGACATGGCAGGTTTGGACGTCCTCCTGCCCGTGAAGCCCAGCATGAATTTCTGACTGGTGGAGCTGTTTTCCACCGGCAACCCTGAGYGCGGGAGGTTGGGCTGTGAGGGCTGAAGGACGGGCAGCAGGTTCTGCCTCTGCACCCTTTTGATCAGAGTCTGCAGGATCTGCTCCTGGGTGGATTTGCTCAGCCCCTCGTGGCACTGCTGCTGCTCAGGAGCGGGRTCTTTTCCCGAGGGGAGCGGGAAGCTCCTTGGAATGTGAGGCAGAGCTCTGTTCTGGCAGAAGATCTTCCCGAGCTGCTGCGGGGGGAAACTCGTGGGTCTGTCCCCCACCCCGGCTGTGCCACTCCCCGCTGTCCCCTTCTCATCCTGAGCCACCACGGGGACAGCTTTCACTTCAGCTTTGGTGAGCGTCTTGGGCAGGATCTGCTCCAGGGGGACGCTCTTGCCTTGGAGCAGCTGCGTCACCAAAGGGTTGTTGGCCGGAATGCTGGAGCTCGCTCTGGCCAAAGCCCCGCCTGGAGGGGATTTAAGGCTGCCTGCYACCGAGGAGCTGCTGCAGGGTGGGACGGCTCCAGCCTGAGCTCCGGGTGGCACCGAGGATGCCGCAGGGGAAGATTTGCTTTTGGAAGCGTCAGAGCCGCTCCCTCCCGAGGCCGCGGGCGCTGCCGGGGTTCCACCGGGTCCGGGTGCGTTCCCAGCTCCTGGAGCCCCCAAAGCCAGGCCAGGAGGGGTCCCCGGGGTGCCCGTGCCCCGCGGGGGGCTCGGTGTGACCCCYGCACCGCTCCCTAACGCCGGGGCTGCCGCGGGGGCTCCTCCTGGCTGTAATTGTGCTCCAGGAGGATGGCGAGGAGCTCCCTGCTCCGCGGCCGCGCTCTCCACCKGGGCACGGGGAAGAAACCTTCTCGAACCTCCCCCGCTTCCAGTTCCTGCCAGTTCCAGTGCGTTTGCTCCAGTTGAGGTTTGGGCGGCTCTGTTGGTTCCTCTTCCGTCTCCCCCCGTGCCCGGGGGTCTCCCCCCGCCCGGGCCGGGTCCTGGCACTGCCCCTCCGGCCGCGGCGGCGGCGGCGGCCGCTGCCCTCTGAGCTTTGGCTTGCTGGGCTCTTGCCTTGATGTCGGCCAAGGTTCTGGCCCCTGTCCTGCCCGGATTGCCGAGGGACAGGGGGAAACGTGCCCTGGGAGAGACCTGSCCCGCAGGAAATGGCATCGGGGAGATTCGGGACACGGGAATCTGCAAGAGAGCGGGAGAAGAGTGCAGCTGAGACACGGGGAGTGTTGGACACACAGAGTTCAGTGTTTGCAGTATTAGCTTAGAGAGCGGTGTGCTTGTGGAGAAATCMCTTTGGAGAAACCTCTCCCTCCCTCGGGATAACCAACCCTTGGATGCCTCCCAGTG